TAATTCCTCACATAAGAAGTGAAGATATGTTAATAAATCTGACGCACGTGAACTTGTTAGATGACATCAAAATTTTCAGACCAAGAATCTGCTTAGAAGTTATAATAACATTCACTTCAAAATGAGAAACGAAAAGATGGAGTGAATCATTCAGTAATTGGAAAAAAACGTAATGATTACTGTAATGAACCATAGAGCTGTGATTATTTTTCACACTCAACCATTTTTGGATGAGTCACAAATTGACTAAATTAATGATTTAATTTTTGTTAAAATAAATTTAGAACAGAAATGAAATTGGCATTCAATATGCATCCACGAATGACCCGTCGCGTGCGGAAAAATCCTTCCAACCCAACGTGTCATAACCTAAATCTTCAGTTTTTCCTTTGTAGTGGGGTGAGGGCGCCATTTTATCACGCATCTGCACCCCTCTTGATGTGTCCCCTACACGTAACTTAAAAACATAGTAATTCCTACTATAGCACGTATCTTTTTGAGTAGTTTCCAAGTAAAAGGCATCTATCTATCAAGTATATTGAAAATTACATCGGTCTTTCTCCCCAATTTTCAAATATGCCTAAACAAAATCAATTCTCTGAGTACTACCATTTTTATTTTAATTACACTCTTTATAATTAATGCTTCTGTACCGAACGTGATTGTGCACACCGCTGCGCTGTGTACTTTTAGTGTAATTTATATCACAAACTTTACTCTTTCGCTTTCCTTTTCATTTTTCAGCATTATTTTTCTCATCTAAAACAAATGACTATAATGTAAAATCATAATAAAATCATTTACGAAAATAACACAAATTTTGCAAATATTAAAGTTAGAATAAAAGTGCGGTGCATTTTGCTGCGAGGGTAGTGAACAATAGTCCCTAATAACGGTATAATCTAATAAATATTTGCAAAATTTGAAAAAGCTTAATGAAACGTTCACTTTTTCACATTATTAGAATTTTAATTTAATTTTTGATATGATTGAATCATTGTATTCAAACAGAGAAGAGTAGTATACTGAAGCACTATTGTTGAAGCAACCAACAAGAAACCAAATATAACTAAGAATAATCCACCAAATTCGCAAATGATCTGAAATATACGAGGAATTGGCTGTAAAATAACTTAAAATACTATTACACTGTAACAAATAAGTAAATGAGTACTAGAAATTATATTACTTAGATAATTTATGTTCTAGTTAATGTGTGTCATTTTGGATATGAGAAGCGTTTTTTTACAGCTCATAAGAACAAAATAAATTAAAAAAATAATATGTACTTATTTACTTATTTATCTCAAAGAATTCAATTCGTTCATAGCGTAATTACAGTCTTGCTACACTTAAACCATCGAAAATGGAACAAACATTAATCATCTAAACATTGAACAAAAATTATGCTAATTTCGAAAATAAAATAATAATAAAAGTTTGAAGATGGTAATAAATGAATTAAAAGCAAAGACGAAGTAAATTCGTATTTTGATACAGTTTTTTTTTTTAAAATTTTATTTAAAATAATTTTAAATAGTTCCGACTTCACTTTCAAATGCTTTCACAATGTAAAAATTTGCATAAAGTTTAGTAGTACGAAAATTTCGATAAACTTTTTGCCAACTGTACTTTTTAAGAAAATTTCGTTAGTTAATTCAGTTTTCAGCTTTGTTTTGTTTGCCGATCAATTTAAGAGTTATCAAGTCAATCGATTCGTCTTGGTAAATTCTTGAATTAATTTCATCAGTGAATTTACTTCTGAAAAAGTTTCCCAACTAAATTTCCACGAAAAACCAATTTGAAAATTATTAATAGTAAATAGAGCGCTTGTGCGACTATTTTCTTCTTGTTTATTTTAATCCAAATTGAAATACAATTAGTCAATTTCAAATATTAACTAGCAAATATTCAAAATATATTAAAGTATATTATTAAAATAAATATTACAAATAGAAGGAAATTCTTGCTTTATCCAAAGTAAATACTCATAAGTGAGGGCAATAAATATTATTCAATAATGCATGTTAATAAATTTTTCAAAATATTAAAAATGAACTATGAATTTGCATATAATAAAGATGTCATGAAGATTTTTGGATCGTTTTTTTTATTTCCATAAAAAATTTGCATATTTATGTCAACAAAAATTAATATCTGAAGGAGAAGATTTTCAGCAGAGCTTTTCTTGCAATAAATTTTAATTACATACTTAAATTTTCTCACGAATATTTCAGTTTTCATTTTTTTTGCAAATTTGCAGGCAAAAGTCGTTAAAATTCGCACATTTCAACGATAACTTTCTAATTTTCATTCTATTTTCCATTTTTTAATGAGTTTTTCACTGAAAAGAAAGATTTTAAATCTTTTCAGCAATATCTTTTTAAATTACTATTGCCATAAAATTAGAATTCTTAATTGTTTGGAAATCGTTTACTCAGTTTTACTGTCAGACAAATAATGAATTCCATTCCATTTACTGCGCAAGAAGAAATTTTTTTTGAAAATGCCATTGAGAATTTTACTTTTTGTATTTTTTTGCTTTTGAATTTAGTAAATTCAAAAGCAAATTCAAACTTACTTTGCGTTGTTCTCTCATTCATTTCAGCGAAGTATTTTGTTTGCTTTCTATTCAAACTTTTGAACGAAAATGAAATTTCCCTCCCAATTCACTTCAGTGTGGTAAATACCAAATATTTGGCTCAAATTTATTTCTATGCGATTTGTTTAAGTTTTTAATTAGATGCCATCTAAAAGCAAATGCATTGCGCTCTTTTCTTATTTTGACATTCAAATTTTAATTGACATTTTTAATGCACACTTTCAAATTCAAAAAATATTTTTGCAAGCATTTTTCAATTCGTTTAAATCCACTAATTCATATATATATTTTCGTTTTCATTTTCATACTGAATACAACATTTCACGTAATTATTACTAATTAATAATCTAATTATGTTGTGAAAATTTCGTAAAAAATTGTGAAAATTGCCAATTATAAACTTTTTCGAAGTATTTTACGATAAATTTTTGTTTTATTTCTCAAATAAATAAAAACAGTCACTTCGCCACTTCTTTTATTAGCAAAGATTGCGTTGAGCACAATTATATGATTATATACCATTTTTTACATAATGATTTTTGATCTGTTTGAATTTACTATTTTTTTGCTGTATTAATACATTTTAAATAATTAAAATATTGTATAATTCTGAAATCGCTCAATTTATTCACGTAAAAAATAATTGCTACATTTGTAGTATAACTTATCTTACAAAAGTAATCCAACAAATTATTTCTGAATTGTAATAAACAAAAATTTTGAATTACAGTAAACACAATAAATTGTAACATGTTGCGCTGTTACTACACTTTTTGAAACGACTTTTTGTATTTGCATAATTCATTAACGTATGAAAATTAGTTTTGACATTTGACCTTTAAATTTCAAATAAGTGCTTGATGAAAAAATAAATTGTATTGAAGTGAAAGGCAGAGTTCTGTCTTTCAAAACAAAGGTGATTGCGTACATATTTACACAAAAATTCAATTTTCACACAACAATTTATTATTTTGGCTACACGCAAAAACCGTAAACTGTAATATATTGATGAAATTTTCAGATGCAAAACTCTTATTAATCTTGCATAATTAATTAACTAATTAATTAGTTTGTCGATGAAATCATAGTTCAAAGTGTTAAATCAGCATTATTTTAGGGTCAAACTCACAAGTTTTTCAGAAATAGAATTACGTATTAGCATAAGTTTTATTCTGTATTTGCTAAAAATCTATTTTTTCTTTACTATTTTTTTTTCAATTTTCTAGCACAACCAATATTACTTGCAAACTGGACCAGTTTTTGTCTTACGTTTGCTAACTGTAAAATTTCTTAAATTTAAAAAATACTGCAGTCATACCTAAAACTTTTTTCTTTTACTTTTTCTGCAGTAAATTGAATGATATTTAATAATACTTTTAATATATTTTAGGAATAAATAAAATAAACTAATAAAAAATGAAATATTTTGAGTGCAAATCTTAAAAGAAATGTAGTGAACAAATATTCAAAGAACTAAATTGCTACTTTTTATGTAACGTAAATAATTACCTTTACAAAGTCAAAATTCAGCAAATATTTTGATGACAAAAATTTGCAATAATAATCAATTCGCTAAAAATTATTTCAATAATTAATGATTAAATTAAATTATAAGTTTATTAAAGTGCAAATCAAAAATGGCTAGACGTTCGTTATTATCTCCCTTCCCGTCGAGATTTAGTCATATATTCGATGATTTTCGAGATTTCGATTTTGAACGATCCTTCCATAGACCATATTGGCTCGATGATTCCCTCGAAAATGCGCACAATTTGGGTTCATGTATTGGAGAAGTTGACTTTTATGACCTTTTTTAAACTAATTTTAAGTCTAATTCTATAGCAATTAATTAAATTTCTCTCACTAATTTTTTAATTCTTTAAATTTTTCATTGGCCATTAACAAAAATTAAACATTTTCAATTGATTTTTTGAAATTTTTTTTTCAAATGTATTGCTAAAAGTTTTAATTTCAAAGTATGCAACTTTTTTGAGCAATAAATTTCCTCTTAATTTGCTTAAAGCATTATTTTTTAGAACTATTTTGCATTCATTAGAAAATTTAGTTTAGTTTAAGCTTTTCTTTTGACTGAGCTATACACTTGTATGAATTTTTATTTTCTCGGTAAATCTCAGAACTTTTCCGGTTACTAATAATGACGAGCATTTCTCGATTACAATCGACGTGTCACAGTTTGCACCAGAAGATTTGAATGTTTGCGTAAATGAAGGAATGGTAATTGTTGAAGGAAAACACCCAATGATAAAAGATCAATTCGGAGAGATTCGTTTATACTTTTTTTTTTTTAAAATGCTAATAAACTAATTTAGTCTAATTTAGTCTAAAATGCTAATTTAGTCTAATTTCTTTTTTATTAGAATTTATAGATATAAAAAATAAAATATAACACCAAAGATGTGATAAGTATTTGCAAAAAGTAATAAATAACTTTTTGTAGCAAAAAGTTTTGTAAATTTCTTTACAAACTAAAGCTTTTGATAGGAAAATTTTTAAATTAAATTGACTAAATTTCATAAAAAATAAAAATTTTTTTTCAGCAAGAAAAAACGAAAATTAAAGAAAATGTATTACTCAATTCGAAATTTTCCATTTAGTGAAAATTTAGGAAATTCTACTTACGTTATTGTTTCTATGTGTTTCAGGTTGAACGCCAATTTCGACGTCGCTTTAAGTTACCTAAAGATGCAAAACCAGAATTAGTGACCAGCGAGTTGACAAAAGATGGTAAACTGACCATACGAACTCCATTGAAAGAAAAAGATTGCGCACAAACGAGAACAGTTCCAATTTTGTATAAAAATTGATTTATTAAGATCATATTGCTGATTTGACGTGTCAACATGCTTATCAAACTTTCTGTCAAAGATTTTTGCTAATCTTCCTTTTTTCCTCTTGTTATTTCGTTTTCCAAGCTACTTTTTATTAATTCTCTAAGAATTGACGTTGTATTATGCGTACTAAATATTCATTCTTTGATTCAATCTGTCTTTGATTCCACGTAATATTCATTTTAGAGTTCATATCTGTATGCCTTTTACACTGAAAAGTATTGGCTGATAGTTCTCTTATCACTTTGATATGATAAAAGTTAACGAACTGAAAATTTATTATTGCGAACAAAAATATGCCAATTTTTGCAATTTAATTAGTATTTTTAATAATTTTTATTTTTTTTCCTTGCATTTGTAGATTTTGTTTGTGTTGCAAACGAACAGAAACAAAATACTTTATTTTTGAATCAAAATATTTTTAAAATTTAATTGCAAGTTTTACTTATATTTCATTTTATTAAAAAGTATTATTTCAAACTTTGAATGTGTTTAAATTATGGCACTGATTGAATCAAAGAATCAGTGCCATAATTTAAACACATTCAAAGTTTGAAATAATACTTTTTAATAAAATGAAATATAAGTAAAACTTGCAATTAAATTTTAAAAATTACTAAATTGAAGGTAAAAATAGCAAAAAGAAAATCCTTTAAAAAATTTTTAATGAAAAGACTAGAAATGTTCTTACTAGATTCATAACGAATACAAGAAAGAATTACTATCTTTTAATCACTACTGATGTTAATATTATCATTATCATCATTATTATTCTTGATAATTTTGGATAAAATTAATTTATTTATGAATAGAAGAATTAGTTGACTTAAAATAGAATAATAATTGAGTAAAGTTAAATAGTTCATTGCATTATTTAAAAAAATAAATAAAGCTGCGGGAAAAAATCAAAGTATTTTCAAATAAATTTTTCACATTTGTTGACTAATTCAAACGAATGTAACAATAATTTTAATATTTATTGTGTAAAAAATAGCATTATTGGAAAATTAAAACCGGAAAGTTTTGCATTTTTTTGTCATTATTATTTTCAATTCTTCATATTACACATAGGAAGACATCTGTTTTTAAAATATACTGATAATATCATCACAAAAAGTTCTAAATTTAAGATTTTGCTAGCGTTTTGCTATAACATGAATTAAATCTGTTAATATTTGATTTATAATATGAATTAAATCTGTTAATATTGAAATTGCAAATATTTGATTTTTTTCCAAAAACATTTGTTAAATTTTAATTTAAAATACATTATGAAAAAAATTTTACAGCTTATTGTCTTACGATTTCCCATGCAAATAATTTATCTAATATATAATTTGAAATTATCAAATATATAATTTGCATTTTTGACATGCATAAAACTCGAAGTGTAATTCACTGTATGTACATTATTTTCAAGGCTTAAAGAATATTCTTATACATTATGTTTATTTTTAATGTAGTCGAAAGTTCAAATGGTAATTAATTTTAAACAATAATTTCAATATTAGAATCTTTGCCTAATTATTTATAATATATGTAATCATATACTTGAAGAATATTTCAAAGATAATACTTTACATAAAAAAGTATTGAATATAGTTATTGCAAATGATTTCGTCTACTTGCTTTATTTTTTCATACGGTTTACTAAAAAACTTGTAAAACACTTTTAAAATTTTAGCAAATACTTGCTTTCATCTAATTTTTATCTGCGAAAACTTTATATCTTAATTGCTTTCTTAAAGTTATAACAAAAATTTTTTACTAAAAATTGATTTTTAGAAAATTATAATATTAATCACTCGAATTTTAAATTGAATAATATATATATATTTGAATAAATGTATTCTTAATTCATGCATTTATCAATTTATCACCAGAACATATGTTAAATAAAGAAAACTTCAAATGCTTACCATATTTTTTGGAAAGAAATCGAATAAATAAATATTTAAAATTTAATTTACAATCAAATTTATTTACTAATTATTGCAATATTTTACTGCAGTGGAATACCCCAGTATTGTACCTATAGTCTCTAAATTTGCATATTGATCCAAATCGAATTAGAGCAGATTTTTATCATGACTTGCAATTAAAATCATAAGTGAAAAAATAATTCAAAAATTTGTAATTTTTTAAAGACTTGATATTGCTGCAAATAAAGTTGAATTGAGTGGGCGAAATTGCGAATGAAATAAATAAATAAATTAAATAAATAAATAAATAAGTAAATAAATAAATAAATAAGTAAATAAATAAATAAGTAAATAAATAAATCTAGTAAAAAGTATTTTGGTCATTTTCTAAACTATTTGATGAAAATAAATGAAGTAATTTATTCATTTTTATTCACTTTTACGTCAAATACCCTGAATACTTTCAATATACTCAAAATCAAATGAAGTGCACAACTTATTTATGTAATTTGCATTGTATTCCACTGCAGGAACACATGTCATTACTGTATCTGACAATAAAAATTAATAATAATTAAATTATCTTTTATCACATTTTGCTAAAAAATAATAATGTTTTTTATTTTCAGTAGTAAAAGTATTACAATTAATTAATTATTCTATCATTAAAATTTCAATTAAAACAACAAAAAGAAATCAAAAGTTATTTGAAAAACTTTGTAGTTTCTAAAAATTTTTTCAGAGCAGTTGCTGCAAGAGAACTGGTAAAACAAAAGATTAATACTAAACTTTTATAAAACGCAAAAACTTTTAGCATTCCCTAAAGAATTTGTAAAAATTAAGTTATACAAAATTTGTTTTTAATATTTGCTTGCAAATGTGCTTCACTTTGAAGAATGCTTTTCTGCTAAAAAAGTTTAACTAAGCATAAAACGCATTTAGAAATTAGACATTTTTATAATGGTGTGAAGCCATAATTCATAACAAAAATTATAGAGTATAGTTTGAAATTAGAAAAAAATTAGCTTTTCATTTTTAATGAATCAAAATTGTTAATTAGGATCATTAATTAATTTACTGAAATTTCAAAGTATATTTTCAACAGAAACGATATTTATAATCCTTCACACTTTCACTGATGATATTGTTTTATGCATAGCTGCTATGCCATGCATAAAACGTACTTTATATAACTTTTAATATATATGCAGAAATTATTTTTATTTTTCATTTAATATATATGAAAATAAATTACTTAAGCATAGAGAAATTATTTATATTTAATTCGATTGCTTTTGTTAATCAAAAGAAAATATAATATTGACTATTTTTTTAATAAAATAATAAATATTTGATATGCAAAACATTTTAGATAAAAAAAAGACGGCAATTTTAACAGTAAGAATATTATTGTTGAAAATTCTGTTACTTACATGGTATATACATACAGTACTGTCATTTAGCAAATAGTAACTGTAGTTGTTATCATAACTGTTATTCACTGCTTGATTCTGCTATTATCATTTGTAATCATCACTTTCAGCAAAAATATTGAGAATATTAGAGAATGTGAGAAAATTAGAAAGTTTGATTGAATTAATTATGGGCATTAGCAATCATTACAATAACTACAAGTAATACTTTATCAGCAATTTTTTCTTATGTTAATAAATAAAGTGAGTAGCAAATATGATAAATTTTCGTCTTGAATAAATCAGAATTATTAAGTCTAATGGCAAAAAAAACAGTAAAAGAATATGCAAAAGATTAATATGAATTATTGTATCTAATATTGTGCATTAATTATTGTGATTTTATATTATTATTCGTTATTAATATACATGTCTCTTATTCACTAATTAGTATTTTTTATGCGCTCAATTACTGTAATAACAAAAATTACAATAATTGAAAATAATGAAAAAATAGTTTTATTAACAGAAAGTGCTTCCTATAGACATTTATTGTTGTTATTAAAATATTTGCGTCTATTTTAGATATTATTTATAATCAATGATATTATTTCTAGTTACTGTAATTGTCGTTGATTGGCATAGCTTTTGTAGTTGATTGTAACCAATTATGATTATCACTGTTATCAATTGCTGATAATATTTATTTGAGTCATTCTTTTGTCATTTCTTTAAATTCATAATTTATCATTAATCTTTGTTAATACAGTTATATATTACTGATTTTTTCTGCACTACTCTTATCTTTTTATCAGTGCTATTTATTGATATTTTTGATTGTTATTATCGATTAAAATAATACACAAAAACTTGTTGGATTTTTAGACTTTTCGATAAATTGAGCATATTTATATAAAACTTATTTAAAATAAATACATCTAATAACAGTTTTATAATTACAACTTAATA